GGATGGATGGATGGATGGATGGATGGATGGATGGAGGATGAATGGATGATGAATGGATGGGTGGATGATTGAGGATTGAAGTGTTTAATGTTTCTGGTTGTGGATGTAGTTACCCGCCTGTGCAGTAGGTGGCGGTCTGCATCTCTGCAGTAATTTGCTGTCCGCCTAGAAGCAGTAGAAGAAGAAATGCTGCGTTCTCTTTGATCGCAGATGCCGGAAATATCGCTTAATGAAGTTTTATCCAGAACAATGGGTGAGATGTAGAAAACTAAAGCATAATTCCAGTGGTTCTTCATCTACAGCCAGATCAGCCGCGGCACTGACCGGCTGGGTGCTGCTTCCGGTCTGCATGCCGTCAGATCCACTGCACACTGTGGCGGCGAACCTTTATGTTCAACATTTCAATCAGGCGGGAAATAAATGATTAGGTGACTAATGATTCCAAGCAGCAACAGTACATGTTCAGTCTGCACTGTTTTAAAGCTCGGCCCGGAGCGCAGATTAAGCTCTGCGGCGTGAAAGTACCTCTATCTGACGTCATTCCTGTTTCCAACTTCCGAGGGGACGCAAACGCCCCACGCTGGACGGAAGTGGCTGCTGCTGGTGTTATGGTTCGGTTCTATGGCGCCGCGTAAGGTGGAACAGAAGCTGCCTGCTGGGATATAATGCTCTGCCGGAGACCTGCTGACCTGCAGCCATTAGTGACGGAGGTGATGATAGCGGCTAACTGCTGCCAGCTAACCCGGCTTGGACTGCGAGGTAACCCGGCCTGAGCTGTGAGGCTCCAGCGGTCCTCCTCCTGATTAAACGGTTTCTGACACAGATAAAGGATTTTATAGACGGTTAGAGCGGAAGGCTACAGCCGGATAGCTAACAGCTGCTAGCTCCGCTCTTCTCTTCATCTTTGACCAAAACTACCACAGCGGGGGGAATTAACCCCGTTGACGTCACTTCCTGTACAGAGAGCCCCCTGCTCTTCTGTTAGAACACAGCTATCCAACATCTGTCTGCTTTAGGACATACTTTATATTTCGGCTCCTGAGGGTCAGTCTGTCCAGGTTCAGTCTGTCCAGGCTCAGACTATCCAGGGTCAGTCTGTCCAGGCTCAGACTATCCAGGTTCAG